TGGCTTTAGACTTACACAGATAATTACTCACTGGGCACGTCTACGAGACACTTAATGCACAGTAGCCTAACAACACTGCACAATACAATGCCAGGCAAAAACGGTGCTAATACCCTCCTGCGCACTAGTATTAGGCTACTTCACAGTAAGTGTTATTAAAAACCCATGTGCTGGCACTACTGCGCATTTAGTTAGTACTTCATTAAGCAAGTACTAAATTAAATGCACAGTAACTACTATGCATTAATGAAGGTGTAGACAAGCCCTCTGTTCACAATAAAGCCATAAAATTTTATCTGGTAAATTAAGTAGGGTAGATGTAGGTCATATAACACAAAATCAACTAATGATTTTAATAGATAATAATGCATGCATACATTTGGGCTAACCTACCTTTTAACATTTTTTCTGGAGACTCCACAGCTGCTTTTCAACTTGAACACTTCCCAAGCATTGCATCACATATACATGAATTATCTCACTCAGGATTGCTATATCTATGCTTTGGAGAAAACACTAAGCACACAACTTTAAGTTATCACTTAAGACAAGAGGCACAAAGTAGTCAGAAAGGCTAGATGTAATGTCCTTAGAATTAAGAAGAAACCAGGACTAACTTCTATACTGTCTTTCAAAAAGCCATAGGACTTTTGAATGGTCAGAACTTTGGTTTTTATGGTTTCAAACCAAGGTAAGCACAATAATGGTTTTCTAACTCCTGCTTAGACAATGATTTGATATTAGCTCTGGGTGCAGACAAACAACAATTGAGATGCTTCCAAGCGTAAAAGGCTTGGAAACATTTTAAATGTTATAAGCCTTTAACTGCACATACGGTCCTTAAAAGCACTTCTCGGCTGGAGTGCATAAAAACTGGGGTGCTAAAAGATGCTGTGGTAACTTGCTCTCCCTGAGCATGACAAATCTAGGATACCTGGCCTATGCCGTGCTCCTCTCTCCACCCTGCTGGCACTGGAGAGGTACCCAGGGATTGGAGTGCTAGGAGAAGCTGGGAGTTGAGGGCCCAAGGAGCACTTCAACTGCTGCGAGTCCCAGCACTGTGACCACTTCTAATCCTAGCACTGAGAGGAAAGGGGGGCTAGTAAGGGACATACTTGGCTCTGCAGGTCTGGGGACTACACCCCATGACTCTGGGCACTACTACTCAGCATGGGGTAAGGGTTTACCCAGCTCTGGCCAGGAGAGCGCCCTGTCTGCTCCTCCTCCTTGGGTGTGTGGGGATGGGCGGGGACAAAAGAGGAGAGCACTGTTAGATGCTGGAGCACCCAGATATCCCCATCATGCTTCCTACAGTGCACACATATGCAAAAGAGTGAAGTGCTTCAAAAACAGCAGTGGTATTTTTCAGCATTTCAGCTGCTTTAGGGATGTTTCAAAGGGCACATAGGTTTGCGCAGCTGGCTCTCTGATACATTTCAAAGGCACCTGAAATGTTTCAGTTGTTACTTCTGTCTTCACTGTCTGTTAACACCCATCTACTGTAAAGCAACAGCGCTATTTACCATACCATCCTCCAAACTGTTTCACCCAAGGACTTAACAAAACCAACTACTTGTTGTGAGAGCTATGGGGAAAAAAGAAAAAGAAAATACAAAAAATATAGAATAAATGACAGTTTGCTTAAAACTATTACAACATATGGGATTTGTTTATTTGAAGCCACTGCTAAAACCAGGACAAATTTAGTGCAACCCAAAAGTTCATAATCTGGTAACTGAATATATTGTTAAATTACAAAAATGGCAAAAAAATGTCACCATTATACAGTACAAGACCTTCATATAGAATTCACTTAGTACAGTTACATAAACATTTATAAACTGCTTTTGTTATACAATTAAACCACTAACTGGGCTGTGAATTGCTATAACACTGCACAAGTAAGCAGCAGTTCCAGCTAATAATGTTTAGTATTAATTATTCAGATGCAACAACAGAACAATGACCCTCTAAAACTACAACTCCAGCTATACAATAGGAATATACAAAGATGATACAAAATAAAGTGACTACAGTGGCCAGGCACTGTACTCTCAAAGCTCAAGTACAGTGCGGGCTTGACAGTAGTGGCTCACTCTGAAAGGCTAGAATTCTTAAACTAAAAATAAATCATGTCCGAAACCTGAATTTTCCTCTGCAAATAATTTCAGTAAACAGCTATGCAAATAGCAGTTCTTCTTGTTCTGGTGACAGTGTTTACTACTTAGTGCATTTGCACCTCCCATTGTATGAGTAGCTCTTTATAGAAAAGGTCCCATATAGTTACATTAGAAAAATGCAACATTTAAAATCCAATACATTTTTGAGAGACGCCATTAGTACCAGAACGGAAAGTTTCTGGGAACATATATATTATGCAAATCACACTTAAATAAGGTTTAGGCTTGAGTTATTACTTCATGTTTTCACACTGAAATATTAGAACTTGCCTATGGTTTAATTTTATCATATGGTCACATTAGACATTTAAAAAAAAATACGTAGTCTTAAAAGCTGTTGATTTTTTTTTTTAAAACAGATTTATAGAGGAATTTATGTGGTAAATATTCTCATATTTCACTTCTATTTTATTCAGGGGTCCTTCTCAAAAGTGCTTTATTTATAGAAACTTAAAAAAATATCAAAATATTACCAACCAATTTCCGATATAACAAAAATCCATTTAAAGTTTGATTCACTTGAAGCCCATTGCACATATTTCCCTCAACCTAAGACAAAGTCAGGTTTCCCTTCTTTTAGCATTTCAGTGTGTGTGTGTGTGTGTGTGTGTGTGTGTGTGTGTGTGTGTGTGT